AAACATACAAGAAAGAAAAGAAAAACATGCCAGCATGTGGAATTTTTGTATGTATGTTTATTTGTTATTAACAAAGATATAATCAACAATTTTGACGAGTATTTCATAAATGTTAAAAACTCATATCTTCATATATCCAGGGATGCATGAACATAATATAATCACCTTATACGTAACATACAGTACATCTTGATGGGGCACACATGTCACACATGACATTTTTAGCATTTCAGAAAACTTAGTATGAAACTAATCTTCGTGAATTTCATTTTATTTACAGGAAACATTTCAGTATGAACCGCAGCAGCAGCAAAAAACAACAGTTTCACCTACAGAGAGAACAAAGCACCAGAACCATATCAGTTGAAACAACCACTTTAAATAATATACATAAGACAGCCGCCTCCAACATCCAATCAGCGACCCAGAACCACCCTCCAACCAATTTAACACAAACTATCAACCATTACAAAAACCTGGTATGCACCACAGAACCAGCCGGCAGCACACAAACCAGTTTACACACGATTAGAACGGCACCCGCAGAGTTTTCCTGACCTGTGCAGATACAGCAGAGGTAATATCAAAATGCTGGGCAGACTAAACCATAATGCACCAACCTGCAGTAAACAGCTGACGGCCTCGCTGTGATAAGGCAAATTGACCAGAACTGAGCTAACAAGGAACCCTACAAACCAAAGCCACAGCGCTCCCAAGATGGCCATCAGGGTGAAGAGCGCCCTTTGCTTTGATTGGTCAACTCGCACCCTGTCCTCACCAAGTCCTGGCCGGTTCAACACACAGAGGGCCGACAGGCTGCAGAAAGTCATTACTGTGATTGTGGAAGCTAAAAAGCAATAAAATGCGATCCTGGTTAGAATAAGATCTCGATTTGTGGCAAGGCTCAAAGTGAAGCCCAGCAGCCACACACAACCGATGCTGATGTTTCTGATCCTGACCCCGCGCTCATTCCTCAGCCCCAGGTAGGTGATGGGGTGAACTACCGCCAGGTAGCGATCCACACAGGTGACGAGGTGAAACAAACTCTCTCCATAAAAAATAGTGGTGGAGACTAGGAACCCCAAACTCAACATGTTAGGGACCTCAGTATACGAGCCACAAAGTAAGAGGATTGTCCCCAAAGGCCACAACAGCTCCATGAATGAAAAGTGGAAGGTGAAGATGTCGGTGTGGCTCATCGCTTTGAAGGAGCGGTGCTGCCGCCATCGCTGGTGACCCAGGTAGAGGATGAAGATGGAGAGAGGATGAGTGAGGACGATTCTGGTGAAGCTGAACATGAGGGTCATTGAAACACAAACTGTAGAGTTGGTGTCAGGGTGGAGCACTGGAGGAAGGGAGGAGTTGGTGGACATATTTACCATCTGCAGTGAAGAAGAAGAAGGAGAAGACAAAGATGAAGACATGAAACAAAACCAGTGACGTGACGCCTCCTTTCAAAGCTGCAGGGACGATGCTGTTCTGTCAACTCAGCTACAGAAACCACTGAAAACACATACGTCTTCAGTTACACAATCAGTGACTGTATAAACTGTGCATATATTATATATTATATCTTGCAGGTATATGCACTGGACAAATATTATCGTCCCTAATAAGAAGTTATTCTCTTCGTCCAGGCCGGTGCAGGAACATCTAACCCATGGAATCACAAAGTTCCAGATCACTGATCATCTGGGGACCATGAATCGTCGTCCCACGCACCGAGCATGTCTCAAGGAAATCCTGAAATCAAAGTTATGGATGAACAAGCACCTACCTTGTGTTCGTGGAGGTCGTCGTCCTGCGTCACTGGACTCTCTCCACGCTCCTCACTGATGTGATGATACTGAATAATGTGTTGTCATAGTGTCAGAGTGATGGATGGAAAATGTTTTGCATGTTGTCAAACAAATGTCTGATAAATTACACCGTGAATCACAGCAGGCAAATTTTCCTCTTCACATTAATCTCTCCTTGTTCTGTATGGAGTGGCGCCGCAGTATCAAGGTCCCGTCCGTACACACCTTCGACCAATCAGGAGTCAGTCTCAGCTGTCAATCACCTGTTTTATATCATTACATAATTAACTAACATCGACACATCCGGCAGCTTAAGATCTGATGGTTTTATTAGAGACGTGAGAGAAACATGCAGCAAACAAACTGTTTTCATTTTCATCTTCGTGAATTCAAACCGAGACAAACACAGAATTTGTTCTACGTCACGCTTTCTGCCACTAGGTGGCTCTTCATGTGCGTTTTCAGGCAGTGGCTCTGAGTGAACGCTTTGTCGCAGTGCGTGCACTTGTAAGGTCGCTCGCCGTTGTGCGTCCTCATGTGAACAGTCAGGTGCGTTTTGCGAGCGCACGCTTTCCCACAGATCCCACAGACGTACGCTTTGACGCCCGAGTGCACCGTCATGTGGTTGTCCAGGTTCGTCTTGCGTTTGAAGGCCCAGCCGCAGTCTGGGCAGCGGTACGGTGTTTCGCCCGTGTGGACCCTCATGTGAACGGTCAGCGATCCCTTGGTGCTGAATCTCCTGCCGCACTCGCCGCAGTTGTACGGCTTCTCGTTGGTGTGCGTCCTCATGTGATTCTCCAGCTGTAAGCTCGTCAGAAACATTTTGCAGCAAACGTCGCAGAGGTACGATCTCTCTCTGTCCGTGTGAATCTTCTCGTGCTGTCGGAGCGTCCCGATGAGTTTGAAGCTCCGGCCGCAGACCTGACAGCCGTGGGGTCGCTCTGCGGAGTGTGTCATTTTGTGGCGAGATAGCGATCTGTAGTTGCTGAGGGATTTGCCGCAGACGCCGCAGAGGTGCGTCTTCTTGTTAGCGTGAGTGCGGCGGTGAGCTTTTAGCTGCTCCTTCAGTTTGAACACTTTGTGGCAGGTGAAGCATTTGTGAAGCTTCGCCTCCGTGTGGCGTTTCTGATGATTCTCCAGAGACACCTTCAACGCAAAAGCAGCGTCACACACATCACATCTGTGTGGCGTCTCCCCTGAGTGGGCCGCCACGTGCTCGTCGAGGCCGAGCTTGCTCAGGAACGACTCTCCACACATGTGACAGTCGTCAGTCTTGTGGAGACTCTGTAGATGATGCTTCAGCGCCTCATCAGTCTCTGAACTCTCTCCACACACGCCGCAAACACTTCCTGGATCATCCACGTGACTCCAGGCGTGTTTCACGAAGGAGGCGTCTGATTTGAGCCGAGCTCCGCAGACGTGACAAGAGAGAGCGACGTCACTGTCCCTCAGCACGTCGTCGCTCTCTAATGGTTTCCAGTCGTCATCGCTGTCGTTGAATTTTTCTCTCTCTTCTTCCTTTTCATCATCGTCACCAGTGTCTTGTTCACTCTCAGCTGCAGGGCGGCACACAGCGTCCTGAGCTTCATCTTCATCTTCATCGTCGTTATCCTCTCGCTGTTGTAACGTTGAGCCGCTGGAGACAACGTCCATCTCCTGAACAAGGCCACTGAGGAAAACCAGAAAAAAATGTATTCAGGTTTACTTGTGATATGTTTAAATTACAAAGTTCTGCACAAAAAAGTAAAATAAAAAGTTTAACTTGACACTGAAATCAACCATTTACCAGAGAATTGTCTGCATAGAGGGAAATCTTGAACTGTTTCATAATTTGGCCCAAAAGGAGAAAATAAAACCAAGCACAGACTTCCTGTCTCTAACACTTATCCGTGGTAGAAGGTGGAGCTCGGTCGTATTCGGGGACTCGTACCTTGTTCGTGGTGAAACGTCATCAAGCATCAACATGCCGGTGGAAGCCGATGAAGAGTCTCTGGTGCCGTCTTCTCTCGTCCGTAGCCGTTGAATTTCTTCCTCTCTCGCCTCAGGTTCTGTTTGTGCCTGTAATAAAAAAAACGACGTCAGATTCCAGCTTGTAGCTCCAGAAGATTACACGGAAAAGAGTTCGACAAACAACCTTGGGTCTGATGAAAAGCGTGGACGTCCCTCGTCCTGCACGGCTGATGTTTCTGTGGAGCTCCTCCGGCGTCACCGTCTTCAGCTTCAGACATCGTAACTTACGTCCCCTGTCGGACGTTAAGATGTCGAGAGGTTTATCGTTTGTCGCCAGCTGAGGGAAGGTGCACCTCAGTAGGTCCAGGAAGTCCGACTCCTCCAGACCACGAGGACACTTCAGCTTCAGCATCGGACATTTCTTCAGAACTGAAAAAGGAAACACGAGCACGAAAATACTTCAACTAAACTTTACTGTCAGAATAATTACAATTATTTAATTAATTAGTTTTTTCATTGTGCCAGCATTTATTTTTTTACATTTCAAATTCAAATGTTGTCAAACATCCGGCTCGCCCCCCTTTCATAAAGCATCATTAATGTTTTATTTGAGGTCTGGAAGAACAACACTGAGATCATTAGAGATGTCCAGAGGTTTTCCCTCTGAAAATTATCTGTGTGACAAAAGAAGACGAGACATTATGTTTCTATTCATTTCTAATTATCATGAACTGTTCCCTTAAAGCAGGAGGACAATATTAACATTTTCTTCTCAACTTTACCGTTTTTTGAAAGAACTTCAGTCTGCGGGTCGTCCAGGATTCGGATCCTGAGGTGCACGTGGTTTTGGGTTTCACTGGTCTGAGGACTGACGGACTTCCCCTGAGGACTGAGGAGAAACACAGGAGATGAAGAAGATGACAAAACATTGTAAAATCAATGGAATCAAACTGGTTTCATCATTTTC